GTCCCAGGAGCGCTGCCACTGGGCTGTTTTCTGGTTTTCACAAACTTTCCTGTTTCACCTGCAGGGTGCGATTCCTCCTCGGTGGGCGTCATGGGGAGTTTAAGTTCCTCCCTCCTCCTGGTTATGCCCCTTGCTATGAAGCAGTGTTGCCCAGGGAGAAACTGAAACTGGAGGCTAGTCAGGATCAGACTGCCACCAGAGACCTGCTGGGACCGACTGTCACTTTGAGCCAGGCAGCATTCACCCCTATACCTGTAGACACCAGCCAGGTCAGAAATGTCTCAATAACATACTTGATTTAAGTTCACTTTTCAATTATTTTTGAAGTCATTCAATAAAGTTTTTTCCCCTTAACCATAACCAGTAACTGAAATGTTGTTTGTTTTCTGTTCAGATTATTTTGCCACCTCACTTGGAAAGGATCAGAGAAAAACTAGCAGAAAACATCCATGAACTCTGGGTGATGAACAAGATAGAATTAGGCTGGATCTATGGTGCAGTGAGTATTATTATATGAAAACAAATACTTGTACATAATACCTGGTGGACTGCTGCTATGCATGTAATCCCAGCTAAACAGGTTACATAAAGAGGATTTGGGGCTGATAGATTCTTCAGCACCCGTAGCAGTAGCTCAGTGTTCCAACATACAGAAGAAGCAACTGCTATCACAGCTAGAGATTGATGAGTGCAACACAAATGCTACAGCAAGGGAGAGCCAGGACATCGGATCATGGGGGAGATGTCATCATCCCCTCCCCCCACCAGCTACTGACAGATAGAGCACTGGTCATGGTTATAAGACCAGACTAACCTGTGCACTACCAGAAAGCCTGCGACTTAGTGCTTCACACCTGGATCCTGGAATGCCCGGAACTGTACAAGATCAGCAGGACCCTGAGCATCTTCATCAGAAATTCGATGGGGATGTGGCGAACAGAACTGCAGACATCGAGGACAGGTACAAGTACCTTGGAATCCCACATGCAAATGGGAACAATCAAAAGGCTGCTAGGAAAGCTGGAACCACCAAATATCTGCAGAAGATAAGGCAAGTCCTGAGGAGAGCTGAATGGGAAGAACAAGATCCGGGCAATCAATAGCTATGCCCCACAGTTGATCAGTTACCCTGCTGGAGTATAAGTTGGCCAAAGGAAGCAATAGAAGCCACTGACATCAAGAGAAGGATGCTGCTTACCATGCTTGGAGGTTTTCACCCCAAGTCCAGCACCGTGAGACTGCAACACTTAGGCTACGTTTACACTGCAGGTGAAAGCACATCATATCCGACTTTTTTGACCCTACGCGACCCGTATCCGATCATGGTGTGACAGTGTGAACAGCACAAATCCGATATTTTCAAATCCGATCTGGGTCACTTTCGTATGTGGTACTGAATCCGATACATATCTGATGTTT